TCCAGCAAGTAGAACGTAAGATGGCGAAAGTCGCAAGGGACCGAGCTTGGGCTGAAAAACTGACTGAGCTTCAGCAGCTTGAAGAAGAGAAGAAGAAGTCAATGTCTTCTTGAAGATTGCTTTCATTGAATAATCTTCTTAATTGACAATCTCTTTGCTCCTCTTTGTTGTGTTTCTCTGAAGTTACTCGCCCTTGTCTTCTATCATTTTGTCGGAAAAACGTAGAGTTACTTGACGTTTCTGTTCTTCATAATCAGTCATGTGTTTCTTGTTTCATGAATTTGTCCAGACACTTTCAGTTCATATGGCAACTTTAAAGACAGGGTTTCTTGAATCAGGACAAGCGACCACCACGTGTAACCTGACTATAGGCTTGGTCGGTCTCTTTCTCTGCCACGTGTATTTCATTTGTCAACTCTTTGCTATAAAAGTCTTTAGCTTTAGGCGCTGAATTTTCTCCACTCTCTCTCTCTCTCACATCAATCAAGAATCATGACGAGCTCGGTGAGAGAGAAGAAGATCAAGAGCAACGGGATTTGGTTAAACGTAGCTGAGAAAGGAGACGAAGAAGGGCCTTTGGTTCTGTTACTCCATGGCTTCCCTGAGACATGGTTCTCATGGCGTCACCAGATCGATTTCTTGTCGAGCCATGGCTACCACGTGGTTGCTCCAGATCTCAGAGGCTACGGTGACTCCGATTCTCCACCAAGCCACGAGTCTTACACTGTGAGCCACCTCGTCGCTGATGTCATCGGTTTGCTCGATCATTACGGTACTGCTCAGGTCTGAAACTGATCTTCTGAGAATCCAACGGTTAGATTTAGATTAGAGTTCTTGGAAAAAAAAGTTTACATTTTTTAGTGTTATAGGCTTTTGTAGCTGGACATGACTGGGGTGCAAGCATCGGTTGGTGTTTGTGTTTGTTTAGACCAGACCGAGTCAAAGGTTTCATAAGTCTCTCTGTTCCATACCTTCCAAGAGATCCAAAACTCAAACCTTCAGAGTTTTTCAATAGCTTTGGAGATGGTTTATACATCACTCAGTTTCAGGTAAAGAAAACCCAAAATTAGTATCAAGATTTGTGGCGTTGATCGTCCTTGTTTGGTTCGATTTCTTGATTCGGTTTTTTTTACAAGAAACCTGGAAGAGCTGAGGCTGCATTTGCCAAACATGATTGCTCGACGGTTATGAAGAAGTTCTTGCTAACGACAAGAACAGATTTCTTGGTAGCTCCTCCTGGTATTGAGATCATCGATGATCTTGAGTTACCATCGACGATTCCAGATTGGATAACCGAGGAAGAGATTCAGGTGTTTGCTGATAAGTTTCAAAGATCTGGATTCACTGGCCCTTTGAATTACTACAGAGCCATGGATCTGTAAGTTTCGCCTTTTTCTCGATCAAGTCCTTTTATGTTACAGAACAAGTATTTAAAAGAGTGAGAAATTTACAGGAATTGGGAGATATTGGCGCCGTGGCAAGACTCCAAGATCGTCGTTCCCACTAAGTTTATCGCGGGAAACAAAGATATCAGTGAAGGAGCCATTGGAACGCAGTATGTGAAAGGAGCGATGTTCAAGAGCATTGTACCTAATCTTGAGATTGCTGTTATTGAGGATGGTCATCATTTTATCCAGCAGGAGAAGTCTGAACAAGTCTCACAGGAGATTCTCTCCTTCTTAAGCAAGTTACAACACACAACAGAGTAATTTCTATGTCCTTGTAGAACAAACATGATGCTAGACTTGCTAGTATTAAGTATCAGAGAATAAAACCAGAGTGTGATCTCGGTAATAATAGTGGTTAATAATTTAAAGAAAGATCTAAACTTTTCTATGTATGTGCTTGTCGAAGAAATTTAAGAGCATTTTTCATAAATCATCTTTGTAATGTCAAAGTTTACATTGTTGAGAATAACCAAATTCCAAATTGATCAGAGAACTCACTCGCAATAAATATTGATTTGATTTTCGGTAACCATAGTGTTGTAAATCCGATGCGTTTTATCGAACACTTGGTGTGCGGAATTGTCACGAGACTCTAATCTAAAGTAACGATTAAGGAAGAAGAAGATTGCGGAAATAGAAACGACACAGAGAAGTG